CATGACAGGAGTTATGTCATGTTTATGACAGTGTCATGACAGTCTTATTCAACCCCCTTCAAATAAAGTGTTACCCATAATTCCTTAATATCGATTTTTAAAAAGTACCATTTCTACTGGCAGATTATTTCACTTATAACATTTTGCAACGTTATAAGTGAAATATTCTGCCAGTGGAACTAGAACGTTTTTATAAATGCAGTCTTAAGAAATTATTGCCTTAAAACAAACTCCTATTTGTATCTGAAAAGTTACTGATGAGTTCGTTTTGTCTTATTTTAAATGTACTAAGATTTTTCCACTAGAAACTTGACCAAAAATACTTTAACATTTTGTGTTTTTGCAGGTAAAACCCTCCATTAGAAGAACAACGGCGCAGGAAACTCGTTCCAGTCGCAACAAACTTGAGGTGCTTTTTATGAAGCTTGATTTACATGTGCGATTAAGAAGCTCCACATGTAAATCATGTTCCAGGGAGTCGTTTATTTGTTTCAAAGTGCTGTGAAGCATCACTAAAAACAAATGTTAAACATCTAAAATGCTGCAATATCCATTGCCGCTTACTGAGGCGTTCAGTCCTGGATGAAGCTGCACTGGATTCATTTTCTCTTCTCTTGTCAAACAAATCCCACCAAATCCTTAAGAAAACATCTTCATCATTCTGGATTTATGCAAGTGTGCAGTTGTCACAGTGTAAACTAAAAGACATGCAAACTTTACAGCAAAAACACAAAACCTTACTGAGCATATTTAGTCTAGTTTCCATTACACTTGATGGAAGACAAAACAAACTCACAAGAAACTTTTTAGCAAGATAAAGGAGCTTGTTTTATGTCAGTACTTCCTTAATATTGTAGAAAAAGTCCTAGTTCCTCTGGCAGATTATTTCACTTATTACAAAACATTTTTCCTATTTAGTAAGTGAAATAATCTGCCAGAGGAACTAGGACTTTTTCTACAACACTACGGAAGTATTGACTTAAAACATCCTGCTATATCTCACTATGATGTTACTTAGTTTAGTCTTATTTCAGATATACAAAACTACTTTGTAAAATTTTTTGTTTTTTGCTGTGCGACAGATATGGATTTTATTGGAGAGAGAAAGAGCGTTTATTTATGGTGAAGTCTAATGGATCTAACTGCAGGTTTCAGGCCTCATCTGTCTGAATCATCTACAGTGACAAAAATCCAGGGTTTTAAGACTTTAAAAATACAACCTTTGAAGGGATTTATATTCTCAAATGAAATACAAACAAATATGTTTTGAAGAAAAATGTACAAAATCAAAAAAGTGCAATAAACTGGTTGACTGCATGTTGTCCAAACACCTTTTGATTCCATTTCAACACTCAGTTTTATCAAATTCACACCTAATATCAACGATATTGACTCTCATTTAAGTGAAATAACTTGCGATGTTCGGATAGTTCCTGACATTTCCAACATCTCTGCAAACTGTTGCTTATTTGAAAGATGCAAATGAGCAAATAATTAATAGGTTCTCATTGGACAAAGGTATAAGTAAGGAGAAGGGTATGAAAACAAATCTGCAGCATTACATATATAATGGCACAGTGAAAACAGTCATTATCCAGATGTTTTTCTAAGACTGACAGCAACAGTGAAGGAGCTGCTTGAATTTCTGCCAAGCCCTGATTGTCTTCTGCATGTCACAACGACCTCCTGTATTCTTTGTATCTGGACTAAATAGAGCCGGAGACAGAAGGCTTTTGATGCAAGCAAAACATCCGGGCCTGGATTAAATACTCGAAAGATGTGCTGTCATCTTTTGAAAACAAGCAGTTTTATCGCTCCACGAACCAGAAGATAAGCTTGGCACAAAAAGCAACACTGCACAAAACCACAGAGAAACACGGTGGTGGCAGTATCATGATCTGCAAAAAAAAATCATCAGATTTCTGCTAGAAAGATGAAGGTGAAGAGAGGTTTTACTATTTTATTTTATTTATTTTACAGTTTGAGGCAATATTAGAGCCATACTAAGAAAAACAACTTTTCAAAAATACAATTCTGAGGATAAAGTCATACAAGAATAAAGTCGTAATAATATAAAAATAAAGTCATATTACGAGAATACAGTCAAAATATTATGATAATAAACTCATACAAGAAAGTCTAAATAAATGAGAGTAAAGTCAAAGTAGTGAGAATAAAGTCGTAATGTTACGACTTTATTCTCAAAATACTACGATCTTATTCCAGAATTATTTCAACTTTATCCTCATATTTTTTAGACTTTTTTCGTACGACTTTATTCTCGTAATTCATTGATGTACGATTTTATTCTCATAGTACATTATTCCCATAATTTTATTTATGTTATTTAATTTTCTTAAGGTGCCACTCATACTTTGTTGTAAAAGTTAAAAGAACAGCGTCAACAGAAGAAAACTAACTAAATCTGGCAGGAAAATCTGTGAGGAGAACGTCCTCACAGCCCAACATGTTTATATATGTTCTACAGTTATTAATATTATAATTATTAATTAAAGTCAAGACATGATGGGATGCTAACAGAAGACTAAATCTTGCTTTTGAATCAATAAAATGATAATTCAGCAGAAAACAAGTCTTACTTCAGTGCTTCTTCATTACTGTTTAAACATTTCCTTAATATTATTGCCTTGTTTTTTACGCCACATAAACCTGACACCTTCACTTTTGAATCAAAAAGTCATTCTTTTTTTGTAGTAACGGGAGTTTTAGAGGAAGAGCAGCTAATTATATCTCCACCTTTTTCTCCAGCATTAAACTTTGCTGGAACAGTTTTAAACTAGAATGTAAATTCAAATTATGACCCAAATTACTGTAAATGATCCTTGAAACACACTCTTCGAATGTTTCCTTCTTTGTCCTGATGTAGGATTCTACAAAACAACCGGATGTGTGGCTGTTCTTTAACATTCAGCTTATTTCTGCTTTTACTTGTCTTCAAAATTAGTTTCAGTGAAATTCAGGTCAATTTAATTTGTTAATTCAGAGCCAAACTTGCAACAGAATCTGACCCAGGTCTATGGAGTGAAGAAGAAAAAGTCTGAACAGTTTTTATTTCAGGCTGGAGCAATGATCCAATCTACAACTGCTGATTTTTAAAGCTTAAAATTAGGTGCACAAATTTGGATTTCATGTGGATTTTCTCTGACGAGGTGAAAAATATGCATCCAAATTTACAAATAGGCATTCATCACTCAGAAAAAGTATTCAAACCTCTACAGAATTCTTCTATTTTTGCTTTTTTTCCCCTACATAAATGTTTCAGATCACCAAGCCGATGTTAGTACCAGATAAACATAACCTTAGTAAACTTAACAGCAGTTTTCAAATGAAGAGTTCATCTGTTAAAGGAATCATTTATCCAAACCAACCCAGGGAGAGTGATTACTTTTTCACAGTCAGGTTGATGTGAATAATCAAACTTTTGTTTGATGTTTTGAAGAATTAAGTGAGACAAAAAAATCTCATGTGTATTTTCCTAAAATTACTGAAAGTTGTTGAGTCCACTAATCATGACTGAGTGCAGCTGATAGTTTTTATTAATCAGTATTTTATTAATCAGTAATCAGGGAATTAAAAAAAAGTAGTTGCAGGTGCAACATGTAACATTGCATGAGTGTCTTGTAAAATAAGCACATTTCCACTACATCTTACTGTTAATGTAAGGAGCAGACATATTAAAATGTGAAATCCACATTGCATTTCGTAACTGGGGCGAGTCAGAGTTGCTCCCAGTTTCCCAGTGGAAAATCCGACGTGAAACGCACCATTAGCTCCTGATGGCTCTGAAATAAACGAATGGAGCTCCGGCTCTTAAAAACAAAATGTTAATTGACTGCAAGGAATTGAATGAAGTTTGTCAAACTTATTCAGCTTGGCAACTTAATAAGCTTAATAAATGAGCTTGAATAGAATCCATTTGAGAATTTGTGATCAATTAATAAAACATATTTTTTCAATGAAAGCACATCAGCCACAGAGTTTTTATTACTTCCTTTACCAACGAAACTAAAAGATCTGTTTGACTTCTGGAGTTAGCTGTTGCTGCATGTCTTTTCATCCATCTTGCTTCTGCACATTAAACCTGAATTAATTACGTCTCTGCCTGCAGGATGAATAAAACCCCTACTGAACTATTCATGACAGCAGCTCCACCTAAATGTCACCTGAGCTAATCTACAAAATCTATAAAACATTCACACCTCAGACCCTGGCAGATTATTCATGAAATGCAGGAATTTTTGAGTAATTTAAGAGCATTTTTGAATTTCAAAGTAAGGCGATCCTCTGCAGCTATATGTGAAAAGCACAAAAAAACTTAGTGGTTTGGAAAATATTTTGCCTTTCTAATAGACAGTAAAAGGTACGAAAAAAATCTAACATAGTCCAAATCGCGTTATTTTCATTTTGCTAATTAAAATACCAACATTTCCACTCAACTTTTTATTTTATGTAATTTTAAAATATGAAATGATTAAGATCAGTTACTCAGAACTCAAGTAGACTTTTTACCAAATACTTTTTTACTCTTACTTGAGTAAGTTCTTGGTCTGCTACTTTTTACTTTCACTTGAGAATATGTTGAAGTACTGCTACTTATTTGATTACAGTTTTTTGGTACTCTGCCCATCTCTTCCTGAGGGCCACATAAAAAGCTAAGCTGGGCCAGATTTGGCCCCCGGGCCTTGAGTTTGACACATGTGCTCGAAAGCAATGAGAATTTTCCCCAGAAAGTTTATAAAACTGGCTGCATTTTTGCGGTTTGCCGGTTGTTTTCTTGGCGTTCTTGTTCCAGATATTTCCAGGTCGCGCTGTGCGTCACAGTTTGGGTTTCATGTGGGGAACTGTTTGATTAATTGGTATTAAATTACTTTTTCTCTGGATGAAAAGTCCCTCAACTAAGCGCTGCAGAACACGGCAGTGAAACGGTTAAGAGTCACATGGTAGCGGGTGGTATTATCAGCCCGGGGCTGCAAAAAAAAAAACAGGGAACAAAGAAATCAGAGTGTATTTAAGGAGAAGTCGCCCCACATCCTGGAGCCGTGTGACTCTCGGCACTGCACACCGCACACTGCGCCAAAAACACCCGCTGCACCTCCATCCTGCGCGGCTCCGGACGGACGGCGGTGAGGATGCGGACTTCTCTGGTCGTGTGCTTCTGCGTGTTTGCGCTGCAGTGTTTCCAGAGCATGCTTGGTGCTCCAGTGCGCGGAGCCGGCAGGTACAAAGCGGCACCGGTGAGTTCCAGTTTCCACTTCAACTTCATGCAGGAGATTATTCTAGTTTAAATAATCTGAGCTTAAAACTTCTGCACGCATCTTTAACACATACTTGCTGCTGATTTTCTTTATTCAGCTGAATCTCCCTCAAATCCCCCCGCACTCTATGAAAACACGCATGCATGCACGTTCATGCGCAACAGGTTGCGGTTGTTAAGAGTTGGATTTTCGCTATTGTTTCAAATATTAGTTGGCAGGTTAGGTATGTGGGCACCTTTAACTCATCAGGACCAATTTCTCTACTGTTGTAATTGTTATTTTAGACCCGCTCTGCGCTTGACCTGCCATTACATCTTAAAGTTGTTTAAAGCATGACTATTATCACCATTTATTTTCTGTCTGCTCAGCATCAACGTAAACACGCAGCCCTTACTCTGAGCATCTCCATAGAGTCGCTCACAGGCAGAATGAATATGGAAGCCCAGAACTGCCAAAAGTTAAAACTACATAAAGAAGTAGTCTTAGCAAAATAATTAATGCAAAACCCTTGCAAAAAAATAAACAAAAACATGAGTATTAGCCATTGTTGATGTTTCATCAATGTATATTTGTGCTTTTGTTGTTTTTATTTTTTTTTATTTCCAGTAACATTTTTTATTTTCTCTTATTTGACATATATTTCACACTCTTCTCCATTAATGTTTTGTTATAATGAATTTTTAGATATAAAAGTGTCTCCATGTAATATTATTCCTAATTAATTATTTTAAAATTTAATCTCATATTTTATTTTTTTCGTTTCATTTTTAAACATGTTTATTTCTGCATATATTATTTATTTTTACTCCTAAAATTATTAAACTAAAGAATGTTTTGAATGTTTTTTATTTATTTCCACATTCTTAACGCTCATAAATTTATGGTATCTCCTTTAAACTCCCTCCTATTTTTTATATATATCTATGTTTGTATATTTTTGTTTCTCTTTTTCCTGTTACTTTCTCTTTTTTTTTTTTTTTTTCGCTAGAACTAAACCTGAAACAACCATTGCAATGCTGAAGCCTTGGTGTTAAGGAGGATCTTTTTTTTTTTGTTTTTGGTTAATTTCGGCTCTTCTGGACTTCTATAGATGTCAGCAGAGTTGTGGTTTTGCAGGCAGGTCTGATCTTTTGGGGGGCGGGGGGAATGAGTAGAAAAAAAGATGTGCAGGTTGCTGAGCTGCACTGCAGCCATGGCAGGAAGCTGTAATAACAGGCCTTTCAGGCATTTTGTCAACACCATAAAAGAGAAGAGGTCCAACATTAGCAGCAGTTCTGATGGCGACAGCAGTTGGACTGTCAGATCAACTCATTTCTATCTTTAATCAGTTCCTAAATCACATGCTGTTGTGATTATTGCATTCTGTCATTACAGAAGTCGCCTATGTTTTGTTTACCTCTCATCTCCCATCAAATTACAACTTTTCTGAGTAAATATTTAAGCTCTGTTTACAGTGAGCGGATTGTTTGGTATGCCAGCCTCCTTCGCAGGAATGTCATGTTTACAAGTAAACCGGCAAAAACAGTTCACCAGAAAAACCAGGCCGTTTGGATAAAAATGTTACTGAGAATAGTTGCCAAGTTGCAGAGAAACATTTATCTAATGCAGGTCGCCTTGTTGCTCTGAAAGCATCAGCAAATTACGCTCAGCAGGGGGTGTGGTCCGGACGAAAGCTGCAAAGATCCTGACAGGGAAAACCGTAAATTCCTCCAGGAACATCTGTCAGCCGGGGCGGAACAAGATGATCAGAGGTGAGAGATGAACGGGGACAGAACAGCAAACTTTTATTTGGTGCTTTCACTAGATTTATACTCAGGCGAGGACAAGCCGTGGAGGGTCAAACACTATCTGCTATTTCATGTTTATGAGCCGTCAAGCTCGCACAGTGGAGATACAAAGAGCTGCATCTGAGTTCGGTGTTTGTTGTCCTGATGCCACAGCTGGAGGGGAGCAATCTGATGTGGCTGTCCGCCCAGGGTCGCACCTCAGTGGGAGAAGAATGGGCGTCTAAAGAAAAAAAGTCCAACTGATAGTTTCACTTCATAAACTCAAAAATACCTTATTTTAATCCCAAAGGGAAATTATATGCAACTCATATTATTCAAGGTTTTTGTAGATGCTGATGGCAGGAAGGACTTCAATAGAAATCTGCCAGATCAGGATGTAAACAACTGCTGAAAATTATAATTATGACATCTGTATCAGTGAAGCATCAGATCACAATCCCACCAGTCTTGGCTCTGACTCCATATCCAGTCAGACTTCTTCTCTACAGATGTTTAAGTCAATGTTCCACAATAAGCTATCACTATTAGCTGTGCTTTCTTTCTGTTAGCTTCCTCCATGTTGTTATGATCTTGTAACGATGCTGTCGGCTCACATCCCTGAATAAACTTTAAAATCAGTCCATAAACCAATCCTTTCATTATCACTAATGTAAACAATGCGCTGCTGTGTGACGTCAACGTTCTTCTTCTACAGATTTGGGTCACTTTGGGGCTGTAAAACATTGACACGGAAGAGTACGGTGGCCCAGAGGTGCAAGTAGTATGAACGACAATGAAAAAAAAAAACATTACATTTCAGCAAAAAAACTGGAAATGAGCATCAAGACCTGCTGTGTGAACATAGCTTAGCCATAGATACCTTGATTTCTGGTTACTTATTACTCAGTTAGTGCTGATTACTTGATCTTAAAATCAGTACCTAAATTAGATGACAAGTTAGTCACATAAAGCAGTTGCCAACAACGGCTCCCTGAGGCACCTCAGCGTTGATAACGGTGGGAATCTTATTATTATGGCATGAAATGAGGATGAGTCAGCTGTATTTCAGGGCAGCATTTCCTCTAATGTCTGTCCAACTTCTTCAACTCTCCCCCATTTACTGCACAGGTGTCAAACTCAAGGCTCAGGGGCCAAATCCGGCCCACCATACCAATTTATGTGGCCCTCAAGATTCCAAATTGCATCAATCAAGGAAAATTACGCAAAATGAACATATCCCTGTTTTTTTGAGGTTTTAGTGCATAATTGTGAGTTTATTGCAAATTTTCCGCAAAAATGGCCATAAAAACACTGGGTGACTGCTAACTCCTACCTGCAGGTGGCAGTACTTCCTGCTTTTACATCACCGCTGCTTCAGCCTTAGTTGCAATGAAAAAACACGAAATCTTAAAAAGTATATCTAGTTTCTTGTGCAGATATCTTAGTACACTTGAAATAAAACGAAAACGAACAAATAACTTTTCTGCTCGACATAAGAGGTTCTTTTAAGTCAATAATTTCTAAATTCAGAGGGAAAAGTTTTAGTTATTAGTGAAATGATCTGCCAGTGGAACTAGTACTTGTCTTCTATTGTGGTTAGATAATTGCACTAAAAACTAGAGCAAAAATATTTGTTTTTGTGTTTTTTGCAGTGTGATGTCAAGTAATAGTACTTGATGGCAAGTAACACAAAGTCGCATTTAACGTTTTACATATGTGCAAATATTGGATTTCATAGATGGATGTTCGTCCATCCATCTATGAAATGACAAAGAAAACATGATTCATCAAAGCAGGACACATTCTTCTTCCATCGCTCCAGTTCAGCTCATTGTTGGAATTTTTGGCAGAGATCCGGGGTCAACGCGGACACTCAGACCGTCCTATGAGCCACAAACTGTGATCGCCTTAGTATCAGAACCAGAATTAACTTTTTCAGCATTTTCAGAACCGTTCTGGAGACACTCCAAACCATTTTCTCTGCTTCTGATTTGTAAACGCTTGAGATGTAAAGTTCACTTCCTACCCAACACATCCAGCTCACCAACAGGTGCAAAATGAAGATATAATCTGTGTAAATCACCTCTGTTGTTAGTGATCATAATTTTCAATCAGTATATATTTACATTAAAAAGCAGCAATAATATCCACATTTTAGAAAACATGGTTATTTTTGGTTCAGTCGAACATAGAGTGTTTACTAATAAACACAAAGAAATGTTTGCACATTTTTATTGTACTGTGGGATGGAAACAATACGCAGTTTCGTTCAAAACAAGTGTCATGGAAACTCTGAGCTGTCCAGGATGTCACGAGAGACAGAGATTCATTTCTGCATATGAAAGAAAACGTTTGTTTTTTAGATTGAATCATAGTTTTCAACCAGAACTGACACGAACGAACGCTGATGGAAAAAGCAACAACGTCCTGCTGCAGCTGTTTGACTCATGGAGCAGTAAACAGGGAAGGTGATGCAAAATTCACATTTTGAACATTTTTGTACTTCCGTTTGGGTCTCTAAAAAACAAAACCATTTGGGGTTTTGGCAATAAGTTCATGATTTTTGGTGTCTGGAAAATAAGCCATTACAAAACAGCAGGCATTGCCCATCACCCATCACTAGGGTTCCTACCCTAGCAAAACTCAGCCATGACCTATCAACCCCAGGATGGTTCCAGCACATCTGGTCAGCTGTTTTTACCTTTGTATGTGCTGCATAATGGCTGCTGGAAAAGACAAGTGGTTTGTTGTTGACTTACTATCCAGAAACCACTTGGCTGTGTTCTTGTTGGTTTTGCAGGAGGCTCCACTTCTGCTTTTCAAATATATATAACTGTATAATTACCATTATTGCAGCCATTTTCACATGCATGCGTAAACGTTGAGTGAGTCGACCAGAAGAACAATTTCCTGCATACAAAGAAATAATCTTACTCTGTAGGGCTACGGATGGATGGATGGATGGATGGATGGATGGATGGATGGATGGATGGATGGATGGATGGATGGATGGATGGATGGATGGATGGATGGATGGATGGATATTAACTCTTCTGCACTTTGGTATTTGCTGTTTCTGCAGTTTTGTCCCATCTTAAGTCCAGCCTTGGAGGAACTTTCAAATCCTTGAGTCTGAACATTATGTTGCACCTGTAACGACTTTGTTTAGTCTCATCACTTTTGCCCAGAAAGGCCTAATCTGCTGGTTGTGTC